GTAAGAAAACAGTATTCCTCTATTTAGCTAGATATAGCAATTCACGTTTCAGTACATTCCATCTGTACACCCATGTTACCCCCTCTCCCACACAACCAAATTCCTTATTCACCATGTCATTCAGACTTACACTGCATGTCAGTAAAGCCCACACCTCGCACAAGCACTGTCCCCCACCAAAAAATTAATAAGTCACTTTTCCTCCACAAGCATATTCCTATGGGTACTATTCCCACTCTTCCATTGGGCCATGCAAGTCCACAATGTGCAAAGACAAAGCTCCCTGACTTCTGCTGCAATCAGCTCTCACAGCGGTAGCTGCACTTTTTGGCAGAGGATACCAATCCAGCGACCCCTCATTACCTTAGGTCAGCTCGGGGCAAATGGCTTCAACTGGCTTCACAAAGGTTGTGAAGAGCACAGCAAGCCATAGTACTGCACTCAGCACTGATGACACTGGAATCCAGACAGACAACTCCAAGAGGTTGAGCACATTGAGCCACACCATTCCACAGTTGTTAAGAATGTAATTAAATCTTCTTTTGACAAGGCTTCTGAAACTAGAGTAGGGTTTTGTAAGCCAAAGCAGAAGGGGTGCATGGTCTCCCCCACAATAACAATGGGGACAGTAATTCCATTTGAGTAAATGTCATTTGGTGGGAATAGTGTCCCAGCCTATCTATGAATGTGGTCTCCTGAGCAAAAAAACTCAGGCTGTCACGGAAAAGTTCACAAAGTCAATGTAAACATTCATAAATCTGCCTTTCTGGCCCACATAACAATGGAGCAGTGGCCTCTGTAGTGTGTACTCAGGTGCTTCTTTAGAAGGGCAAGCTATGGGCACATAAGTCCCATCAATGGCCCTGGCACTGTTAGGAAACTCCATTCTCTCAAAGCCAGCAGTTACCTCTGGAACAACACCAATGCCTGCCACCTTGGATTAACTCACACACCTGATTGCCTCAATTACCTTCCCGTTCACTTTACCCACAGTCGGCTTTCCTACCCCAATCTTGTTGGCAATGAACTTGTAGGAGCCAGGACCCAAGGGCGACCTCTGATATGTCTCCTTATGTTGGGGAGAAGCCACTCTCAAAGCTCCAGAAATGTAGCTTTCTTCATGTTGAAAGTTCTGGACTCACTGCTATTCATACCCAGTCTGCATGATGATGGGATCCCACCAGCTTGTGCTTGTGCCTCGGCTCCAGAAGTGGTGCTATGTAAGGGACATCAGCAGCAATGCAGGTCTGTTGAGTAGCATCTGTCAGTGCTAGCCTGAGATGCCAGGGTACAACGCCTCCTCCTCTGCTGCCTTCTCTTCCTATAGTTCCATCAAGAAATCCATCACGTACCTTTGCGGGGGACAGAAAACACCATCAAAATGTCCACAAGTGCCTCCCAGATGCAGTGCCGGTTTTCTAACACAGGAGTGAAAGCGCAAGCAACAGAAGTTTATCAAAATGCACCTCATCCATATTGCCGGCACCGAGGTCTGGGCATGCCCAGACCAAAATAACTGCTTGGCAGGCTATTCAGACTTCCTTAACACGCAGGTCTAGCTGGAAAATTTTCCCATGGTGTACCACAATCCTAGACTTGAGTGGCCACACTTTGAGGGGAGAGGAGGAAATGACTCTGGGATATGATTATCTTGACTTGGATCTGTGCACTGTAGAACCTAGTTTTGAGCATGTTAGAAAAGTCTTCTTGTAGGGGTAAAACACAATGTAGATGCTCAAGCCTAGGGATTTGTAACATGAGTCAGCTGACTCAAGTCCCATTAACCTGGGGCTTACATTACAGCAGGGCTGGGCAAAATACGGCCCACGGGCTAGATCTAGGGTTGCCAAATGGTTTAACCTAAAATACCGAACAAAAAACAAACAAACAAACACTGGAGAAAAAAATCTGTTGAGGAAAAAAGAAAGGGAGACCAAGTTTGTTGGGGGGGGGGGAAGGGACCCCGAGAGTTATTAAGCAAAAAATAAATAAAACAGCATGGCCCCTTTAAGAAAAGTCTTTAGGTTTTTTGCTGGTGGCCATCTCGTTTTCTTGATTGGTGCCAGAAGGTAGCTTTCCTGTGGAACCAGGTAAGTGGAGGGGGCCAAAGATGGGAGAGCTGGGGGCTGGGCCTGGTTGCTGAGTGTGTGTAGGGTTGCTAGGTGCCTGGTATCTTTGCCTCCTGGCAGGGAAAAAAAATCAGAAAATACCGGACATTTTAGGTGTCCGGTATTTTCTGAATTTTTTTTACCGGACAGGAGGTGAAAATACTGGACTGTCCGGGTCAGTACCGGACACCTGGCAACCCTAGCTAGATCTGTCTTGCAAAGCCACTGAATTGGGCCCACACGCCAGCAGGGAGCCTTAGAAAAGTCGTTGTGGGGCCTTGTTTGTCTTTGAACAACTGTGGAGTCGGGGGTCGATGGAAGAGAGGCTTTGCACATTTCCCCCCCATTCAACACAATTGGCAGTATTCCAGCCAATGGGCTTCCTGTTTGAAAAACAGGCAGTGTGAGAAGTACCTCTCTCCCCTCCTCTCAGGCTTACAGCTATTCACAGATGCACTTGGCCCCTGTAGCCTGTGCAGGGGCATGGAAGGCAGGGAGCCTGCCTGAGAAACCTGCTGGTTGGGAGTTGTGCAGGTAAGTCTCCTGGTCAGAGCCTGCCTCTGGCACCTCAGCCCCTCCTTTCTCCCAAGCTCCAGCCCCCTAACCCTGCACCCATACTTCACATAACCCAATTCCTCTGCTTCCTCTCCCGCACCCATACCTCCTCCCAGGCCCTACACTGCCCCAGGTTCACTTCCCCAGTCACAACCCCCTCCTTCACCCAAAGTCCCACCCAGACCCTCCCACCTCCTCCTGCACCCCAATCCCCTACCCCAAGCTCCTTTCTGCACCCAATTTCCATCCCAGACCCCGTACCTCCTCCATTAATATACTAGAAGAGCACAGTCCTTGACCACTTTCCAAATTCTTGGGAGTGTCTCTTCATCAAAAAATATTGTCCACCTCTGGTATAGACCTACAGGAGCAGTTTTGATCTGTTCCTGATGTGATGCAGCTTATGCAAAGCAGAATGTAATGTTGCAGTCTAGTCCACTGTGAGAACAAAAACATCAGAAAACCTAGAGAGAGAAAGCCACCGTGATTCTTTAGCATCCTACAATATGAAAGAGAATCTCATTTCAGACGGTTAATACCTGAGTTATATTTTCTCTGTCAACTAGTAATAAAGAGAATTTTCAGGTGCCAAGGCAACAATGGATGCCCTGTAACTCCACTCCTGTATGGAATATCTGCAGGTTTCTACACTTCAGAATAGCTTACACAGCTGTTTGGGTACTCCTGGTTTTGCCTAAACACTATTGCCAGACTTCATTCTTATTTCAGCTTTCAAACCTGTCAGGTCTACAGCCTTCTTGTCATCACAAATGATATGTAGCCACATGAAATACTTAACTTTGACATCAGCAGTTTGAACATAACATTTTGAAATCAGAGTATCAATGGCCACAAGTGGGTTTCTTGATATTTTAGCTTCTGTGACGTGCAGTGTGGGACGTAAGTCCTTGTTTAACAGCAAAAAATTAAAGGAAGCTAAAAAACAACATAGAGAGGGGAATTGCGTGGCTACTCTTTGGCTATTGGTGCAAAAGTTTCTAAAATGTTCAGCATATCTTCACTGTTAAAATGAACAAAACAAAAAACCAACAAAAGTTATCTGCGGATCACTTGGCTCATATTCACTCACAAACTGTTTTTACTTAACAAAAATAATGAACTTAGGTCAAGGCAAAAACCTCCATCTGTTCTGGAGTTACTGTCTAATAATCTTTGCCTTTGAGCTTCTCCCTTTTTCTCCTTTTTCTGATTTTGTCCATTCATTTTGTCCCCTATATCCCTAAAATTTTTCCTATATTCTGAGGAGAGATGGCTGCCACTTGCTGTGTGTGTCAGCTTAATGGGAGGTTCCCCCTTCCTCCCCAAGATTTCAGCTCTCTCAGTATTCAGTCCAGTTAGTTTTCTTTCCTTTTACTTTATTGATTTTAGACCTTATTGTCTGGAGACCCTGTTGGGACCATAGACAGTTTTGGTTTGGTTAGTTGTTTGGTTTGGTTAGTTGTTGCAAATCAGTGTTATGAAGAACCATGTTTGTCTTTCTGGATGTTTCAATTAATCACAAATGGCCTAGGAAAGATAGACTACCTAATTTATTATAAGACTAATGGACTGTCACAATCCAAAAAATAATCTTTTTGGTAGAGCTCAATCAGAAGGAATTTGTCTTAATTTTAGTATATTTCTGCATATACTTTTGTGTGTGTGTTTGAGGGAAAGGCTAGATTCTAAAATGACAAAAGCATGGTTCATTAAGGGAGGTATTGCTGCTGGGAGTACAGCACCCTGTTGGTATGCAAACATTTCTAAACGACCTTTCCTGTTCTACTTTCTGTGGGTAGTATTGTTTGAAAAGCTGACAGGATTGCCAAGGTTTTGAGCTCATGGGCCCCACACAGAGTATGAAAAGCATTCACTGAAACTAGTTCCTTCTGGAAATGAAAATGAGGAGTTATAATATTGTGGGCAACAATGCCGCCATTTTTCAGGAAAACAAAAAATTCTGATAACTCTTTCTTTTTAGGCTAACATGAAAGAATAAAAGACCTTTTATTTAAAAATTCAGAATACCATGTTGAATTATAAAGTTAGAGTTTAGCAAAAGAAAACCTACTGATTGTTGAGGTTTATTGTTGATGATTACTGTTTTCAGTATAAGGTTCCTGTGTTAGCAGAATGGCATGTTCACCTATATAATTTTTTTAATGAACGATTGTAGGATTTTAGCAATTCACATTCTGATTTTGTGCATGTCAGTGTCACATTTTAGAAAACTTTATACTTAAATGTAAATCTCATTTAATATATTGTGCCCCTGCATTTTGTGCTTTTACTGAGAGATGTCATTCCTTCAAGTGGTTTTTTTCCCTGTATTTACAGATTATACGATGGCACGTAGACCTACAGCCTTGGGCTAGTCCAACTCCTTCCTTGAATTATGAGGCCTTGAGGTTCCTGAAATATATCACCACACCTCAGGTTGGTTTTCATTTTGATATCCAGTTTGAAAACAATTTGAAAAACACAATCAGTTTTTCTCCCAAAAAGAGTCTTTAACAGGAGTTTCAATTACTTCAGTACCCCATCACATTGCATCTTGTTTAGAATTAGATATTTTGTTTCAGAAAGTGTGCAATTTAAAATCAACAATCAACTTAAATATAATAATCAAGAGAGGCTAAAATAGGGTGGGCAAGATAAGGCCCATGGGCCGGATCCAACTTGCCTAGCTGTTTGATTCGGTCCATGGCCTGCCCTGTCACTCGCCCAATTGAGACCTGCGGGCAAGGGAGTGCACAAAGTCATTAGCTGTTCAAAGTGGCTGGCAGTTCCCTCCTCCCACCAGGAGCATGCATCACCTAGAGCTGTGGTCACCTACCGGTCGATCACGATCGACTGGTTGATCGCAAGGCCTCGACCAGTCAATTGCGAGGTTTTCAGGCCCCCTCCATTTTTCCCCCCACCCCAAGAAGCCCCACTACCTACCTCCAGCGACAATGGAGGTAGTGCCGGCTTCCTGCGGGGTGGATGGAAATCCTGCAGCTTCACGCCACTTCCGCAAGTTTCAGAAGTGCGCTGGCTGCTTCCCTCCCTCAGGTCTGTGGCATGCCGGGCGTGCTGCGGGAGGGGGCGTCGGCCCTGGAGGAGGAGTGCGGTGGCTTCCCTGCACCGCGGGAGGGGTGAGTGGGCCCCGAAGAGGAGCGCAGGAGTTTCCCTGCACCGCGTGGCGGGGGAAGGGGTCAGCCCTGGGGGAGGTGTGCTCAGGGGCTTCCCTGCACTGCGGTGCGGGGGGAGGTGTCAGCCCCGGGGGAGGTGCGCACAGGGGCTTCCCTGCGCTGTGAGGGAGGGTTACCCCCGGGGGTGGCGCGCTTGGGGGCTTCCCTGCTCCACGGGAGGGATGAGTTGGCCCCAGCAGAAGCGCGCACAGGGGGGAGTCAGGCCCGGAGAAGGCACGCGCCGGCTTCCCTGCGGGGGGGGCGGGGGTTGGCCCCAGCAGAAGCGCGCACAGGGGGGAGTCAGGCCCGGAGAAGGCACGCGCCGGCTTCCCTGCGGAGGGGGTGGGGGAGAAATCCTGGGAGGAGGTGGGTGCAGGGGACTCTCTGCCTCCACTGGCACTTTGTTCCCTTTCCCCACTCCCCAGCCACAGAACTCTGTCCCCACTCCTCCGTCCCCAGCCACAGAACTCTGTACCCACTGGCACCCTGTCCCCTGCTGAAGCACCCACTAGCACCCTTCCCTAGTACTATGTCCCCTGCTCCCACCAACACAGTTGGGGCCACATTAGGTGGTTTTTTATGCATCTCACTTGTGTGGCCGCAGCTGACTTTTCTGGGTGACCCCTGACTCAAAACAGGTTCCCTGCCCTTCTCATAAATAAAGACAATGCAGAAACTTTTTATGTTTGACACAGTATTTTATTTAAAAATGAAGCCTGGCCAACAAACCCCCAATTGGGGCCAAGCCTCCATCTGGCCACAGCATCATAACACTCCTGCACTCCCCTTTCCCCCAGACCCTTCATCTGAGCCTATCATACACTGGAACCCCCTGCCCTGAGCCCCTCACACACCCCAACCCAAATTCCTGAACCCTCACATCTAGAAGTCTGTGGCTTGCTTAGTACCCTAACCCTACATCTGACCCCAACACTGCCTGGTCTGGAGCCCCCTCCCTGAGCCAGCATTCCCTTATCCAACTTCTCCTGCATCCAGATTTCCTCCTAGAAGCTTGCACCTCTCACCCCTTCCCACAACCAAATCCCTTATTCCCACCCCAGAGCCTACAAATCCTGTCTCAACCTAGCGAGGGTACGGCTAGACTGCAGGAGTTTTTCAGGATTCCAGAGATATCCCAGAAAAACTCTTCTGCATCCAGGGATGCGTTTGTTCTTCCGCTTCTTTTAGCGGAAGAGCAAACATGATCTTTCGGTCACCCCTATATTCTTCTTTCCACGAGGAATAAGGGGGCTTCCAAAAGAAGGGGTTTTTCTGACATTTAGTCAAGTCTAGACAGGCCAAATGTTGGAAAAACCTCTTCCTACAGAAGAACTGGGAAAAAAAGCAGCAGTATAAGGGTTGGGGATAGCAAGTGATGGAGAGGAGGAAAATAGAGAGGGTGGGGCTTCAAGGAAGGGGCGGGGCTTAAAGGAAGGGGTGGAGTGGTAGATCTTCACCTGTTCTGAGATTTAAAAAGTGATCTTGGATATAAAAAGGTTGGAGACCACTGCCCTAGTTCGAAGTAGGGAGGCTAATGTAGACATTCGAAGTTGCAAATGAAGCCCGGGATTTAAATATCCCGGGCTTTATTTGCATGTTCCCGTCTGGTTGCCATTTTTAAATTCCACTAGTCCGAAGTAACTGCCTGTGGCTACATGTGGCAGTAAAACAGCAATTCGAACTAAGTCCTTAGTTTGAATTAACTGTTACTCCTCATGGAATGAGGTGGACTAGTAGAATTTAAAAATGGCGACCGGACGGGAACGTGCAAATAAAGCCCGGGATAGTTCGATCTAGGGGGCTAGTGTAAACATACCCCTAGACATGCTGAACTGGAGTCTTAATTCCCACACCAAATTCACATGGATTACTTTGAATCATGTGGTTCCTCTGCTTCACTACCAAAAAATGGTCCTTCCGTTTCTCTATGAAACTATAGACAATTCCATTGCATCTACACTGTTTCCCAAGAGTGTGTGTGTTTCATTTTGAATTACTTACTAAGTAATTATGAGACACAGAAACCTACAAAAGGATCAGATTCTTGGTCATACTGTGGCAGCTTTGTATTCCTGTAGTGGCACAGTATACCTCAGCTAGCTAATTATGGCCAGATTTTCAAAAGTGCTCAGAACACAGCAGCATCCACTGAGAACAAAGAGAGTTGCACTGTGTCTTGAAAATCTGGATATTAATTGCCCATGCACTGGGTTGTCATAGAGATCTCATAGCATCTATTATACCTCTCACATTTGGTCTCTGGTAAAGAGCATGTGTGGGAGTAAAAAAGGGCAAAGCCTACAATATTTATGTCCCTTTTGCAATCCCTGGCTGCTGGAGGAGGGCTAGTAACAGCCAGCACAGTTCACAACAATCTTCACATTGCTCTAATCTGAGGCAGAGGCAGGCCTAATACTAAGCCTGGGATGGCAGGGCTCAACAAGACTGTTGATAAGGATCACAGACTATTCCTCATTCACCACTCAGGATCCAGCCCATAATGTTTAGCAAACCTACAGAAGACAGCATTTCTTGGAAGTATTTTGCACTTCATAACTGTAGCTCTCCATTCACATACAACAGTGGTCTCCAACCTTTTGGGGCTGCTGGGCGCCCGGGGGCGGGGCCTCTCACGCACCACGTGCCCGGGGGCGGGGCCAGCCCAGATTTGTTCAGTGGGCACACATAAATGGCCGAGCGGGCACCATGGCGCCTGCAGGCACCGCGTTGGGGACCACTGATGTACAGTATCTAAAAAAGATTTAAAACATCTTAGGAAGAGAGGGAGTCTTCAGACTTGTGACACAGTTGGTTTCTTTGAATTGCATTGTAAGTTGTAATGTTGTAAGTCAAACCACTTTTCCCATAAGAATCAATGGTATAAAGAGGGGATTAGGTCCTTGACCAAGGCTTGATACACTATTTTCACCACAGTAACCTAGATTTTGTACTAAAAGAATTAGGGTATGTCTACACTACCCCACTAGTTCGAACTAGTGGGGTAATGTAGGCATACCGCAATTGCAAATGAAGCCCGGGATTTGAATTTCGCGGGCTTCATTTGCATAAGCGGGGCGCCGCCATTTTTAAATCCCCGCTCGTTCGAACCCCGGGAAGAGGGGGCTGGAGAAGCAGCGGGGGAAGAGGGGACTGGGGGGAATGGGGGGAGCTGGAAGAGCAGGGGGAGCAGGGGCCTGGCATGCAGGAGGAGTGGTGCCCATGACAGGGGCAGGCAAGCTGAGGCCCTCCCGCATTGTCGCACAGATGGAAGTGTATTGCTGGACCAGCTTGTCCAGCAGCTTGGTGCGCCACTCAGCCTCCGCCTCTGTCCTCTGCTGGAGGGTCCTGTTCAGGTCCTCCAGGGCCACTATGTGCTGTCTCAGCAGGCCTGTGTAGTGCTGCCTGTGTGTGCCTGCGGGTGCTATGAGTCCAGGATGGTGATGGGGCAGGTGTGGTGCTCTCCTGTTGAGTAGAGGGTCCAGCTGTAGAGGAAAAGAAGAGGAGACAATAAATGTCTGTGTGCACCTCTGCTGTCCTTGAGGGCATGTCATGGCTGGCAGGGGCTCTTCTTTGGACAGGAGACTCAGGGGTGTTACACGTGACACCGTGAGTGAGTTGGGCAGTGGCCTGAAAGCCTCACAGCGGCCCCACCATGTCAATGGGACTAGCTGGCCCCACACC